ATTATCATAGTTGTGTAACTATTACAGACAGCGTGACTAAATAAACTTAAATTTTAATTATCAGAAAAATTTAAAAACGTTAACGTTCTGCAGTTCAGATGGTTCCGTCCATAAGATTATTAATCATATAATACCATAGTTGCCTCGAAATCCTTTTGTTTCAACAGGGACGTTTAATCACGTATCGCCCGCTGTAGCGGGCGATTAGTTCTAATCGCCCGCTAGAGCGGGCGATTAGAACTAATCGCCCGTTACCAAGGGTCACACCTTTGTCTCCCTGACGACTACGCATTAGGCAAGTGCCTCACGCACATAATCGTGCAAGGAACAGCAACAGTTAGCTCAGAGCCGTCAATAGTCTATCATCCGATCCCTGAGTTGCCGCATCATTTAAATTACCCACGTGCAGTCTCCAAATTTATACTAATATATTTAGCGTGTTTGTTGTGGTACGTTAAATGATAGATTGCGCATGCGTAACGGATTAAAGCGTAAAAAGTGCGCATGTGCAACAAGCTTTTACATCCCACAAGCAATGAAGCAAATGTTTTAGCTTAAATACGCTGATTCCAAGTAGGGCATGTTTGTCCATTTTTAAATGGGAGCGAAACTATGCTATTACAAACTAATAGCATGGCTTTTCGGGAAATTAGTGATTAAATGACCCCTTACCCTCGGCAGGTTTGCGGAATTCCCTCGGGCTTCGCCCTCGGGAATTCCGCAAACCTGCCTCGGGTTACGGGGCCATTTAATCACTAATCTCCCTCAAGCCATGCTATTACTTATAATAATACCATAGTTGCCTCGAAATCCTTTGTCTCGCGAGGTACGATTAATCACTAATTTACCTCATTACCCATGCATATGCTTTTGTCTTCTAAATTTCCCTCATCAAGCATGCAAGGGAAAATTAGAAGACAAAGAAATCCTTTGTTTTCAACTAAATTTACCCGGGAAATTTAGTTGAAAACAAAGGATTTCTTTGTCTTCTAATTTTCCCTTGTATGCTTGATGAGGGAAATTTAGTTGAAAACAAAGGATTTCTTTGTCTTCTAATTTTCACCTGCATGCTTGATGAGGGAAATTTAGAAGACAAAAGCGTACCTCATTACCTCTGATTGGAGAGCTGTACCCAGTGAACTCTAAGAGAACTGGAACGATAACTTGGCGGCCATCTTTGAAGCCACTCATGATGGCCGCCATGTAACAGGTGGGAAATTTGTCGGAGCATGCGCGAGTAAAATGATCCACGCAATTGCGTGGAATACACGCAATGCGTGTTTACAAAAAGGCACAATCGTGTAAATATTGCCAAATGTTTGTACAAAATAAATGACTGTTTTATGTTGAAAGAGTGGACATGATCTAAATTAATCATACAGACTTTTTTAGTGACGTTCTATTTCAGTACCCTGCCATTGTCTCTGGTGGGCTGTCCGTGTGCATTCGATCTGAAACAGTTGCTACTTTGCTGTCGAAGAATTTCGAATGTTTACATGAAAATAGAGGCAAGTCATGCATTTTACAACCTCGTAAACTGTATGAGCCCCTATTTTTACGCTTATACCTAAGATATCAAATAAAAGTACATGAAACAGAGAACATTTATAGAAAGTTTTATCGTGAGGCCACGGCCAGTTTTTAAAATATCTTTATTTCTGTTCCGGTCATCACCAAAATTACACAAAAGCCGGGCTTGAATATACAACAAATTTTGAATCTCATCAAGCACAAAAATACTTAACGTGTAACCAAAATATGCTCATGAAATCGAAATTAATAGCTAAATTTTCAAACTAGAACCTTCTCAAAACCGTTTTCATGAAGGAAGTTCACATTTCGGCCTTTGATTCTTGGCAAAAATTTGACCACCACATGTGCGAAGCAACTGGGTCTCAAAGACTGAACTAAAACATTTTGAGCCCCTATTTTCCTGACGATATGTTTCATACCTACAAACGCCGAAAAGTTTTTGCTTTTCATTTAGCTATATTTGAAATTGAGGCCACGGGCTATTTTTGAGAAAATACAGTTCAAAGTCAGGCTATTTTTACATATTTTCAAAATTTGTCAAATTTGGCGAGCTTGTATTTTGAACTTAGACAGCTAAAGTTACATTAAGAAACATAGGATGGAAAATTTGAGGCATATAAAGTTAATTTCAACTTACATTTCATTCTCAAATCACGTCTTTCTTCGTTTATTACGGTTTTAAACAAGCCATAGATCGACGTATACGGTATTTACTCCCATGTTCACGTCGCCATATTAACTTCTTCCAATCACGCGATTACAAAACAATCATCCCAAAACAAAGAATTCATGATCGACTTTTAAAAGAATAACCAATAATTTGTAAATCATTGAATGGAAAGCAAAAAATCGTCAGCTAAAACAGCTTCTTGCTAACTTTCTGCTTTGTTTTGAATGCAAATGCAATGAGCTTTGTTTCTGCCCGCAATTTTTTGGTCAGCGACGACAAATTTCCCACCTGTTCCGCCATGTACGTATGGAGTGGAAAATACGCAACCAAAAAGATGTCTGTTTTCAACCACTAAATAGCTCAGTGTATTTCAACAAGGAAAAAAGCTAAAAACTTTCAACTATACCTGAAATTTAATACAAAACATGATTCCAGAACGTAGAGCAGTTATAAAGTTCTTTTTTCAGGAGTCAAAGTGCGAAGTTTTTTCAGCACGTTCAAACTTGTGTAATATTTTGAATATGAAGCTGTTACCCAGGAAGTTTTTGCTGTTAGTGGATGTAAAATACTTAAGACTATCCAGGAAACCAGGTTTGAATCTTTTAAGTTAAAGCCTGTTGATAAAAAAGTGCTTTTTCTTGCTGATTTTCGCTCAAAAACAAACTTTTGACTGAATTTCCCGCTCCTCGAAACTCTCCCCAGTCCTGTTGAAAGTTAATTTATTGCTCGCTGAGCTCGCGAGAAGCGCCATCTTGGCTTCAGGCAAGTATGGGCATGTTTATCAGCAGTTAGCGATTCAGTGTTATTACAGTTCACTGGCTGTACCTCATCGAAAATCATCGGCACAACTATGGACAGTATCTGACGACACCGTCCCCGCGTACATATTCGAACAGTCACTTTGCCAGCTTTTATTCCCTAATCTTGAACATTACAATTGTGGGAGAAAATTCCGTTTATGCGCATGCCTAAAACGAATGAACACGGAGATGTGTTTCTGCGCGTGCGTATATATGAAAAGTGTTCGTACCACAATCATAAGACAATCAAACAGCATTCAAAACAGGCAACACACCATGCGCGATTCCCTCGGCAACTATGATATTACAAAGTAATAGCATGGCATTACGGTCGATTAGTGATGAAAAGTCCCTCAAGCCTCAAGAGATTTAGTAAAAGTCCTTCGGCGCTACGCGCCTCGGGACTTTTACTAAACCTCTCTCGGCTTTTGGGTACATTTAATCACCAATCGCCCTGAATGCCATGCTATTACTTATAATAATAGCATAGTTGCCCGGGTTTCTTTTGTTTCAACAGGGACGTTTAATCACGTATCGCCCGCGATTAGTTCTAATCGCCCGTTGGCAAGGGTCACACCCTTTGTCTCCCTGACGACTACGCATTAGGCAGGTGCCTCACTCACATAATCGCGCAAGGAACAGAAACAGTTAGCTCAGAGTCGTCAATGGTCTATCATCGTCGGTAGGTAGGGATAAAACGCGGAAACGGAACGGATTGGCAGAACGGGAATGGTGGAACCGGAAAAGCGGAAACGAAAAAGAGGGTAAAACGCGGAAAAAAGGGTAAAACGCGGAAGAGGGTAAAACGTGGAGAAGAGGGTAAAACGTGGAAAAGAGGGTAAAACGTGGAAAAGAGGTTAAAACACGGAAAAGAGAGTAAAACGCGGAAAGGAGGGTAAAACGCGGAAAAGAGGGTAAAACGCGGAAAAGAGGGTAAAACACGGAAAAAAGGGCAAAACGCGGAAAACAAACTTTGAAACCAAACTTTGACTTTGTTAACAAAATCAAATTTTATCTAATTAAATACCATAATAAAACAAAGTAAATGTACCTCATTACTGTACTTGAGTTCTATTTTTGAGAAGTCGGCATGTGAAAAAGTAAACTTTCCTTGGAGTACTTTTACTTGGAACGAAGTCGTTTAAAGAAGTAACGTTTTAGTCGTTATTTTCATTATATTGCGAAGTATTTTGTTACTTTCTAACTTTTGTTTAATTTTACGTGAGGATTTATTCTAATTTTGGGATAGGTAATAGGACCTGTACATGCATCGGAATGGATTTCTTATATTTTCAACGGGATCTGGAGAGTAGACCATGCCGTGAAATATTGTATATTAGGTGCACGCATATAATGCGTGTGTTGCTTTGTATGTCAATCCATTGGAGAAGTCCCCCCCTGCCCCTTACACGCCAAAGACAATAGTACTTTTACTTAAGTACGTTTTGTTTCCAGTACTTTTTACACTTATACAAGTCGTTTTATTGTTAAGTAGGCCCACTTCTACTTTTACTCGAGTACAAATTCAAAGTAATTTAGGCGCCACTGGGTATAGTGGACATACTGCGTTTACTTTTGTAAAGCAAAGATGCCTTTTTCGCCTCAGAAGGAAGACCATTCCACTATACTTAATAAGATCTTTAATTTTTATAAATTTTTCTCTAAGACTTGGAGCGGACTGCTCATTAAGAATTTTGTACATCAAAACGCTCTTCACCCAATGCATATGACGTCTTACATCATATGCCCATCGACTAATAATCATACACCTACTATGTAAAGGCCGGTTTACACCATCAAAGTTACTGTGATCAAAGTGGCGTCATTTCGCCCAAGAAAACCTGTGACTTAAATACTTTTAAATTTAATTTGTGAAGGGTGTTAATGGTGCAAACTTCGTTAATAAAAGCATACTGCATGCAGTGAGCACAAAAACGTTGATAGTGTAAAGGCCAGACTCCACCGCCTCCCCCCCATGTGAAAAGTGAATCTGACATCGTGGGCAGTAGGGGCCGTATTTGTTTTGCGAGAAAAAAGATTCGCTTCGCCATTACTGGATGACGCCAAAGGAAACGGATAATTTGAGAAAAACACTTGCGGTTTGACAAAGAATACCACCTACGCAACTGGCTATAATCGCTTTCAGTGCGAATACCTTGCCACAGCCCATAGGCTTAGTCGCTTTATAGAGATAATCTATACTCTATTATCTATACAAGCGTTGAGTCTGCAAAAATTTTCATGATATGTATACTTAAAACATTACATTTTGGCACTAAATACGTAACGATTAGCGACGCTGTCAATACGAGTTTTCTTTGCATATAGACAACATGTTTCACAAATCTAAGGAACTGTGTACACCATTTCAACGAACGAATTCATCATATTGTTAGATATGTAAATAATCCGGAAACATGTTGTTTGTGCAAAGAAAACTTGCCTGCAGCGCACAAATCTTATTTGAAAAGCCGTCAAAAAATTGTATGTCTACACGCGCAAAAAGTGCAAAACGTGATGTATTCAGTGACAAAATGTTATGTTTTGAAATACTTAATTAAATACAGGTTATGGTGTCATGTAACTAACAGGGAAATGTTATCTCATTTATCACTGTACTTTTGACAGTCACAGTTAACGAAAGGACTAGTTTAACTTGACATTGATGCTTCCCTTTCAAAATGGTGTGACCTGTTTCTCTCAATCGTTCATGATCACATTCCTAAATGTTCCTCAAGAAACGTCTACGATCCCCCTTGGATCGATAAAGAGTTGCTGGAGCTCGTTAAAAAGAAAAACAAGCAAAGAAAAAGCTGCTAAGGACAAAACACCCCGATGACTTAGAGAAATTTAGGTTAATCCGACGCGAAACAAAAAAGCTTATCTCCAAGAAAAAATGTGATCACGCCAATAAACTAAAAGAGTCAATGTTTGAAAATCCCAAACGTTCCTGGTCACTTCTGAAATCTTCGACTAAAACAAATCAGAGCCCAAATTTTATTCGAAATGGACAATCCTTTACGACCGACAGCCGCATCAAAGCAAATTTATTCAACAAATTTTTCCAGTCCGTTTTTAGCCCTGGCAACGTAGATCCACCTTCAACGCTCTCTACTTCAATGGAATCTTCTTGTAACAAACTCTCTGATATTGATCTTACAATCTCTGAAGTTGCTGCAGTGCTTCGTAGTTTAGACCCCAATAAAGCGTGTGGACCAGATGGTATTCCGAGCAGAATTCTGTCCAAGGTCGCCGATGAGATTGCTCCTTCACTTTGTATTCTTTTCAATATGTCTCTCTCTCTTGGAGTGGTACCTGCTAAGTCGAAGTTTGCCAATATTACCCCTAGGCCTGTTTTTAAAAAAGATGATCCCACCATAACATCGAACTACAGACCAATCTCTTTGCTTTGTGTTATCTCCAAAGTATTGGAACGTTGCGTTTTTAATCACTGTTATCATCACCTCTCCCCTTCTTTCTATCAATTTCAACATGGATTTCACAAGGGTAAATCAACGACAACACAACTATTAGAAGTATACCATGACATCCTGGACTCCGTAGCATCCGGTAACGAAGTTGATGTAATCTATCTTGACTTATCAAAAGCCTTTGATAAAGTCCCTCACAATTTGTTATTACTCAAACTAAAGCATCATGGTATCAACGGATCTCTTCTTTCTTGGTTTGGTAGTTACCTCACAGATAGGTACCAAAGAGTTGCTCTAGACGGATCATTCTCTTATTGGCTTCCTGTCACGTCCGGTATACCACAAGGTTCTATACTCGGTCTATTGTTGTTTGTTTTATACGTCAATGATGTCCCTAACTACATTCAGTACAACTCATCAATTGCTTTGTTTGCTGACGATTCCAAGCTGTTCAAATCTATTCTCGATTCAATCTCCAGTTACAATCTTCAGAGTGACCTCGACCGCTTGCATAGGTGGAGTTTGGACTGGGGAATGACATTTAATAAGTCTAAATGCAAGGTAATGAACATCTCCAGGAAGAAGTCACTGATAAGAGAAGCAGTGTACACCATTGATAATCAGTCGTTGGATTGTGTTCCTTTCATTATGGATCGATCTTGGTGTTACTGTGTCAAATGATTCGTCGTGGTCAAGGCATATTGAAAGTATTGTGACCAAGGCTAATGAAACGCTCGGTCTGGTAAAAAGGGTATGTAAAGAACTCCCTGATCTGAAAGTCAGAAAATTGTTGTACTGTGCTCTTGGGTGGCCTAAACTTGAGTACGCCAGTAGTTTGTGGTCACCGTATACAGTTAAGTATCGTTTCTTAATTGAAAACGTCCAGCGGCGGGCCACTAAGTTTATACTGAACTATCCTCCGGATATGTCATATACACAGAGACTTGCCAGAACCAATTTTCTTCCCTTTGAATTTCGCAGAGAAATTGCCGATTTGATGCTTCTTTTTAAATCCAGAGCAGGACTGATTTTTACTGATGTCAATAATTTCCTTTGTACTTTCGAGCCAAAATATAGATTTCGGAATTATGATATTAACAACTATAATCTAATCATTAAACATAAACAAGATTATTACAGAAAATCGTTTTTTATTAGATCAGCCGAACTATGGAACTGTCTGCCATCATACCTTAAAGTCTACCACTCGTTACTGTTGTGAACACACTTTGTTAATAAACCGCCATCTTACATTCTGCCCCCTGAGGTTATATCACGTGACTAGATGATCACCTGATACTACAAGGACACTACATCTCTCCCCGCCTTGGTATTTAAGATAATATAACGTTTGTTGATATTAACCTAGAAACTGTTCGGTTGTTTAACATAACACAACAAATATCAATGTCTATTAAGTCCTTTAAATTAAAGTACATAGTATTATAGTCTTGTACTTATCGTTGTCCATCATGAAAGAATTATCGTCTTTTCCGTTGTCTTCGTGGATATTGTCGTCTGCCTTCATCTCTGTTTTCAACAACTACATTTCTCTCTCTCTCTAGCATTTTCATTTCGTCCCTCAACTTTGTTGTCACTTGTTTCTCCTTGATTTGTAGCACCTCCCGTGAATAACTTGAAATGTGAACTGTTCCGAGTTATGCAATGATCAGCTCTCGTAGCCGTAATCATGGTTCCTTTTACAGCCGTTATGGTATATGGATTTGGGTCAAAATGTGGTGTCAACTTATTCTGTTTCTCTTGCCGCACTAAAACACAATCTCCAACAGCGAGTTGAGGTATTCGAGCATGTCGGCGTTTATCAGCATATTCATTGCGTTTACACTTGGCACTCTGATCAGCGGTATCTATTGTTTCGTTGATATACTTCATGTCTGGGAGTGTTTTAGTAACTGACGGTAACTTATTGCGAATGGAACGTCCAAACAAAGCAGTAGCTGGTGGAACCGTAGTTATTGAATGTGGAGTGGATCTGTAGTTTAATAAGAATTGATACATTTCTTTGCGCCAGTTTTTATGATCAACATGAGCAGCTTGGATCATGAGGTTTCATGAAGTTCTCAGCCTCTGCATTGCCTTGAGGCCAGAGTGGTGTTATCTTATGATGATGGATCTTATTATCATTCATAAACTTCTGAATCTCATAGCTTGTAAAAGGTGGGCCGTTGCCGGTGATAATTTTCTTTGGTAAACCATGTGTTGAAAAAATCCGATCAAGTCGAGGGATGGTGGAACTTGCAGATGTACTCTTAACAATTTCTACTTCAGGGAAGCGTGTTTGACCATCAATTACCACAAGAAGTAATTCTCCACTTGGAAATGGGCCGAGAAAATCTACATAAACGGTATCCCATGGATGCTTTGGGATCTGAATCAATTTTAGTGGTGCAGGGGGTTTTGGTCGAGTGACTGATTGGCAAGCACTCTTCAACATATGAATCAATTTGGTAAAACCATACTTTCTCTCGGATTAAGCATTTAGTTTTAACTAGACCTTGGTGGCCTTCGTGTGCCAATTTGACAGCTTGGGCTCTCAGTTTAGTTGGTATGACAACTCGGTTTCCTCGAAGTAGAATATCGGCATCTGATGACACAGTCAATTCATCTCGTAGTTTATACAAGGCATGTAATTCATCAATATTAACTCCTGTAGACATTTTGTCTTGTTTCTCAAGAGCAGTCCAGTTATTTGTTTGAATAAATTCTATGGTTTTACTAAGAGTGGGGTCTTGTTTGGTTGCATCCTTGATACAAGCAATATCCATAGCAACAGGTATGGTATTTTCAGCAATCAGGCAAACGTGCTCTTTAGCTATATTCTCAAGGGAATTTCTGGTGTTTGTGGCAGTGCATGGATGACGAGATAGATAGTCTGAAGGATTCTTTGGACCCGGCCGATATTTAACATGGAATGAGTACTCTTGAAGATGTAAGCACCATCGCTCGATACGGCTGGATGGGCGAGACTGGAGGTTCTTGTAGATTAATTCAAGAGGTTTGTTGTCAGTTATTAATGTAAAAACGTGCCCGTTAAGATATAAACGAAAATGTTCAATGCCATATATAATAGCTAATGCTTCTTTTTCTATATGCGAGTACCGGCTTTCAACTGGTGTTAGGGAGCGACTGGCGTAAGCCATAACTTTCGTATCATCCTTTCCGGGTGTTGTCTGGGTTAGAATGGCACCGACGCCAACTGGTGAAGCATCCACATGTAATTCTGTGTTTTTGCTAGGATCGAAATACCCCATGACCGTGTCCGAAGTCAGCAGTCGTTTTAAAGTTTCAAATGCCTCTTGATGCATGCTGGTCCAATCCCACTTAACATCTTTCTGTGTGAGCATACGTAGAGGTGCGGAAAAAGTGGCAACGTTTGGGATGAAACGTCCACAGTACTGGATCATTCCAAGAAAAGATCGAACCTCTGTAGGGTTGGTGGAAACTGGTGTTTCCTTCACGGCGTCAACCTTACTGGGGCTTGGAGAAATTCCATCTGCAGAAAAAATATACCCGAAAAATTCTAGTTGTTCTTTGTCAAATTGGCATTTTGCCAACCCCAATTTCAGATTGTTCGCTTTGAGAACTTCCAGCACTTTCTGCAAGGACGCATTATGATCTTTCTCTGTCTTTCCAAATATGATGATATCATCACTAATGTTGCGACATCCCTCTATTCCATTTAAAACATTGTCCAAAGCATTCTGGAAAATTTCGCTAGCACTGTTAGTACCAAAGTTTAGGCGTTTGTACCGATACAAACCTTTATGGGTTGTGAATGTGGTAATAGAGCGAGAGTCTTCGTCAAGTTCAAGCTGGTGATAGGCCGATGAAAGGTCAAGTTTGCTGAAATATTTTGCTCCATTTAAATCTGTTATAAGATCATCGATAACTGGTTGTGGGTGATGCTCTCTCTGGATTGCTTGATTTGGCATACGCATATCAACACACAAGCGTATTTTATCAGGCTGGTTAGGCTTTGGGAAGACAACAATAGGGCTAACCCATGGTGTAGGCCCTGTAGTAGGCTCGATAATGTCAGAGTCTTCTAAATGTTTCAGTTCGACTTCAACTCTGTTACGAATGGCAAAGGGAATGCGACGAGTGGGCTGCACTACAGGTTTGACACTTGGATCGATGTGTAAATGAATCTTGAAATTCTTAAGCTTGCCAATGCCTGTGAAGACATCACTGTACTCTTGGATCAATGGAGTGAGACGAGTTGGTATTTCTGCTGTAACTGCATTCACTTTAACATGAATGAGGTCTAATTCAATTGCTGTATGTCCACTAAGTAAACATCCAGTTGCATTTTTCACTACAAACACTTTTGCAGTCGTTATTTCATGCGATGACTCAAGAGTACATTGAAATTGTCCTAGGACTTGTAAGGGTGTAGAGCTAGCAAAACCAAAAAGGCGGGTTTTTTTACTTGGCAAGGGTTATTGTAGGGTTTCCATCAACAAGATGTTTATAGGATGTTTCATTGATAATGTTGGCAGTTGAACCAGTGTCAATTTGAAAAGGTATCTCTGAATTTCCAACTCTTAATGTCTTCTGAAAGTTCTCTTTGTCAGCTGGTGTCTCGAGTGTGTACACATATTCATCGCTGTCATCACTTTCTACTTGTTGTTGAGCCTGTTCAATCTTACGGACTTTGTTGCTGGGTTGTTTTCGTCGAGTCGACCTGCAAACACGTGCAAAGTGATTGTACTTTTTGCAATTGTTGCATTGCTGTCCTTCAGCAGGGCATGGTTGATCTTTGTGGGGCCAGGCAAGTCCACATCTGAAACATTTTCTAGTAGGCACCTGTTCTGATGTTCTAGGCAGCTCTTTCTGTTTTGGTTCAGGTTTCTGTGAACGTTGATCATTTGGTGAAGAATTATCTTTGTTGACAGCGTTTATCTCTGCTGACGAGGGCATGTTGAATGAACTATTCGCGATGCCAGATGCTTGTTTTTCAGTCTCCGCAAGAGTCCTGGCATAACTGATCAAATCTGTTAAAGCGAGGCTTGGGTTGCGAAACGAATGTTGCCGAAGCTTCTTACTTGAAGTCCCAAGTTCTATCTGTAATTTAATTTCCATGTCATGGTCGTGAAACTCGCAGTATTTTGCCGCAATTTGTAAGCGTGTGTGATATTCATCGATGCTTTCGCCTGGGACTTGTTGTAATTTACGAAATTTAAATATTTCAAAGGATACATTTTTCTTCGGAGTAAAATATGCCGTCAATGCATCACAAGCAGCGTTAAAGTTGTTGTTTTCTCCTCGGTCAGGTAGTGTGTCAAAAATATCATTTACACGTTCACCAACATAGTGAAGTAGCAAGGCTCTTTTGCGACCTGCATCACGAAGGTTCATCGCTGTAACTAGATTGTTGAATCGCTTTAAATACTTCTCCCATCGTACTGCAGTAGTAATATAGAGGCCGTTCGGGCCCCTTTTTTGCGGTGGTGGAGGTGGTGGAGTGTGGTGGAGGAGTGAGGAGGAGTGAGGAGGAGTGATGACGTCACTCATTAATATACGTCATAATTATATGCAATGACGTCACGCGGGCGAGCTTAAACACGATCGGGCGAAACTTGCTGACTACGCATTTTTTAGCGTTCTCCCCACGTGTGTGATACAATAGGGATTAATCTTGGCTTACTATGAACTTTTATACAAGTGTCTGTATAAAATCTACAAGTGTTTTGTAGCAGGCATAGTTCTGTATTTGTTCCACATCAGTCATGGCGTGTCTACACGGTAAAACCACATCTTACAATTTATTGGAAGGAATTTTTGCGAGTGCAGTCGCACAAGGGGTTGAAAGACTTTGTGTGTTGAATAGTTTGTGTCCCTCGCATGGCAAAATTGTTATCGAAATTAATATATAGCCGTATCTTTGCTCGGAAGAGATAAATTTCCACATGTATATTGACCGATTTTTCGTATGTTCCATAGCGAGGAATCTTTTCCTTACAAAAATCAAGACATATTTTAAACTAAACAGTTCCTAATCCCGAGTTGTCAACGTCGTTGTTATGGTCAATATTTACATGTTCAAGATTATTTAGCAATCCTCCTACATACATATATACTGTTAAGATGATCACATATATACTGTTAAGATGATCATAAGAAAGCTTATCAAGAGTAGAAGTAAGAATTAGAACAGTTGTAATATTTTTGACACTATCGTCTGTTATTTGTATCAATAAACATGTTTTAAACTTTGCAAATGTTGCGTTGTTATGCGTTGCTAAGTCATTAGGAGGCGTGTAGGTAATTAAGGGGATTAAGGTAATACGAATTTGCATAACTAAGTGTATCCCGATGGATAGATAGGGATTATTTTTTAACGCAGGTGTATACCTTAAAATCAGGCGCGTGGCTTTGTGGGTCCATGCATATATTAAAGTACAACAAATTTGTACACGGATCTTTTCGCGCGGGCGGAAAGAGCGGGCTTTGCCGGAAAAAATTACACAATATTTCAGTTTTTAAACACATTTACTTCTTCAAAATGTTTTACAAAATTTAGTAAGGTCTACTTCTAAGAGCGTAACGTCTAGGTGTTTTTGTTATTTTTAAAGAGTTCTCATATTCTTGTCTATCTTCTGGGGATAAGTTTGCAAGTTTTTCCGGCTTCATTGGAATATATTTCGGTCTATCGCTCAATATAAAACGTTCATAATCCTCTCTTGCTTCCGGAGTCATTCGCGCTAGGTCACGTTCGGTCCAATCTGCTGGGTCGACCCAATTGTGAAAAAAATTGCGCTTGAGTTTTGGCCGTTCCTCTTCTGTTGGTGGTGGTGTAAGGAAATTAGGTTTAGGAGTAGCAGGCACTGGTGGTACTATCTCAACAAATTCATTGGGTTGTGGTATTTCTGCAGGCACTAGTGGAGTTGTCCGAACAGGAG